ATCCTCAGCTTCTGAGGCTTTGGGTTGTTTAGTGCCCACCGAGACGATTGGTGAAAGACGGGCTCAAAGCTATTAGCCATACGCTGCGTTTTCGCGTAATTGAAACCTCCAGACCCCATGTCGACACGACCTGCATACACATAGAAATGCGTGTCTACACGGAGCATGTATGTGAGTAAGGTATATCAATCTATCTACATGTATATATACATATATACACACAGAATTAATTACACACATAAAAAAGTGTATGTATATATTATATATAGTGCGTATATATACTTATACCAAAACACACAAATACATATATACATACACATACACGTACACAAACGGTCATACGCGTACGCATACACATACACACACACACACACACATACGCATACGCACACAAACACTTATACGTACATGTACAAGTACACATACACATACACAGTCATAAATACATACATACACGCATATATACATACATACAAATACATATTTACGTGTATATGTATCTATATGTATATATATGTATGTATATATATATATATATATATATATATATATATATATTGTACATATATTTTAGTGTGTATATATATATACAACATTTCTCATATTGTATGTATGTTGTGATCGGGTACATATGTGCCCATGTATACATGCATACGCGTATTTGTACTCGGGTGCAAGCATTGGACCTCCACTTGTTACGCGACGTAGACTCGATGTTTAAAGCAGGGGTATCTGGTCCAAGACCATACTAACTTATATGATTCCTATGATTTGGCTATTGAGCAAGCTTACAGATGGATAAAAAAAATTGGCAGGGATAGAGATAATATGTGTATATATATAAATATGTATATACATGTGTGTGGGTAGGTTTATCTTATGCTTGGACTTGGCAACTCAAACCGAGCCTTCATTTTCGACCTAGCAAAGTTTATTTCAAAACGAGAAGATTATTGAAATCAGCGCTTCCACTTATCAAAAGCCTTCTAATATCACGGAACGGACACAACAAATAACGTTCCCAGAAAATTCTGCGTGAGAACATGCAAACAGTTCGAGTCCAGCCACATGAACCGTGTTCAATGATTCCATCTATCTACATAAGACGAGGTATCGTGTCGAAACGACGTCTATCGAAACTGACAACACAGAAGCAACGTTTGTGAATTTTTCAGTTTCGTTGTTATTACTTACTGTTACTTGGATTGAGGGTACGAACTGTTGAAGTCAGGTTGCACTGCGTGCTTTCAAAACCAGAGTTGCGCGCAAGACATTTCACTTACGTATGTATTTTACTCGCCGGCTTTCTTTGGCATTGAACTATGCGATCCAGCCAGTCTGATTCACATGTGGAAGCAACGAAGAGGTCGGTTTGGGAAGATTGCCGAACTTGTTTGAAGGGAACAGACCAAAGATCGCACTGGGCCGGAGCTCGTTCGGATTCCGTGCGCATTGGCAGAAAGCCAGCCCCAAATTGGCGTAAGCAAAACTACCAACACAAAACTACAAAAACCAAAAAACAAAACAAACAAAATCTAACGAGTCCGCAGGTCTTCGGGAAGTTCTGCGATCCAAGCTCTCGACCAAGACTTTCGGTTTGTTGTTGCTTCTTGGCTTTGGTGTTTGGTTGTCTTGGAGATGGTTGTTTCGCTATGTTGCAGCTTGCTTTCTGCTATCTTGAAGTGATACGACTGCCTGTCTACTTCACGCTTTCCTGCGGTGGTGCAGATTGCTCCTGTGAAGAACCACCAAATGCAGCATAGGCTAGGGGTTATTTATATATATATATATATACACAACCCATTAACCGAAAAAAGATACAGACCAGGCACAATGTGCTGAGCGCAACCTGCTTCCGGATGGGCCTCGCTGTGGCGGCTGAGACGAACTCCACAGGATAAGCCACACCAACTGTAAGCACTATGGCAAACAATAGTGAGCATAGCATCCTAGCAATAAACTGACCATGCAAGCGTGTGTACAGGCATAGGCGACGTGTCATCCAACACAGAACCTTGCGAAAATGCCTCAAGAATTCCATCCAGTGCCAAGTAAAAACCATGTTCGACGAGACAAGCAACACGGCCGCAAAGCTCTACTCGAATCCTTTCTCAAACCGCACGATTGACTCGATTGACAAGTTTCGACTAGTTTCCCATGCTTGCAGATGGAGATGCTCGTCAAACTACCACTGCACAAACTCCCAAGATCCAAAGTAGATCGCACCTCCAACCTCCCCGCCCTGCACTGCACAGGATGCCAGGCCTCACTCCGATGCAGACGCACTGAAGTTCTTGGGGATCTTTCATAGCAACGACGCAGGAGCCACCCTGCTCATGTCGTGTCCACAGGGCTCAAGACAGCAAGGTGGAGCTTTGCAGGCTGCCAGGTTTCCGTGGCGAGGGTGGCGCTGACCAGGCTTCCACTGGGAAGCCGATCGAGTGATTCCGCGCACAGTGAGTCCAGAGTCACCACAAAAGCTTCTGAATCGGAACACCGGCATGTTCGAATCATTTTGCTGCTGGAGGGCTGGAGGCCTCTTTGAGTCCCCGCTCCAAGTACTAATCTGCGTCATCTCTCTGTACAGTGAAGGATGGGAGTGGTTGGCAAGCATCAGGATTTGCAACACAAATGTTTAGTGACACTTTGTGGTTACTTGGCATGTGATGTAGGAGTGGTTGGGTGCGAGCCGGCTAAGCATCACTATACTTTCATGATCGCTGCTGCTCGCAAATGTTTCATGTACTTTCTCTACTTAGAGTAACCAAAGCTTGGGAAATGTTAAAACGTATGGAACCCGTGAGAACAAGTGAAAGACAATGATGAAGCTGTTCAACTTTGTTGCCACGAAACACGTACCGAATTTTTTCGCGGCTTGGACGACGACTCACTGAACTATCCATTTAATCACCAGCCAATAAGTGAAACTTTTCACACCACCCCAGAGATTGCCCGACCTGCCATCCTAGACTATGCAGCGTGTGCATGCGTGAAACGAAAGGTGGTTTGCCACTTTCGGGCCGTGGAGCATTCGGAAATGAAGAGACTGGAAGTGCTGCAAGGAGTTGCACGCTTTTCAACCTATCTGTATTGCGAGCCAATTCTGCTGCAACTCCTTTCCATCCAGCTCACCGAATTAATTACAGACATTCCTACATTACATTCAATCAGCAGCACGGCCTACCGAAGACTGCGACTTCGTCCCCGAATCAAACCTCCTTGTCAGATCGCGGGCCAGCGATTTTGCTGGCGAGTCTTCGAGCATCCGTGTTTTCTGCAACTCGTGATCCAACGAGGGCAGCGCATCAATCTCGTGAGGGGGGACTCTGAGGAGTGGGAGTGCTGCATTCAATCGCTTCTCCAAGCGAAACTCCATGGATCTCAGGCCCTCGAAGAGCTTGAGGATGGAACGCTCCCTCGCAGGCTCCTCCACATCTGCCAACATCGTCAGAAACTGGCGGTACAAGATCACCTTCTCGTTCGAGGATGTTCGGTATGTGGTGCAGTATAGCATCTCTAACAAGCCCTCCGTGTCCAGGCCAGAAGCTGCACAGAGCTCCGCCAGCAGATCCGGATCGCTTAGGAGTTGCAGCATCTCTTCCTCAGAAATCGAGCCGTCACTGTCCTCGTCTAGCCTGTGGAAAATCACCTTTAGCCGCTTCTGGGCGGCTTTGTGGATCTCCGTGGCTTCCTTTTGCCGGTCGAGTTCATCCTTCGCCCTTGAAGCTTGCATCATGTTGTCAGAAATAACAGAAGTCAGGATAGCAAGCATCATCCAGTTCGACAACATCATAAACACGTAGAACAAGATCTGCCCTGTTACTGTGGTAATGATCGGCGCAACCACAGACTGGTCGTCGTTCATCAATTTGAACAAAGCCAAGAAGGACCGCCAGACAGTTCCAAAGAGCTCCACCGCTTCTTCTGGCATGTCATCAGGATGATCGTAGATGTAACCCTCACCTACCAAGCATCTGAACACCAGAGAAGCTGAATACAGCAGCAGAAAGGCCAGAACAACGACCCAGCTCAGACTGGCGAGCGACTCCACAACGCCGTTCATAAGCTTGTACAGCTGCTTCACCTCTCTCAGCAGCCGAGCAAGTCGCAATACACGGAGCACGCGAGCAACCCGCAGGCTTCTCATTAAGGGCATTGCAACCGTCGAGGCTCCACTGGAGCCTAGTAATGCCTGGCGTATGTAATGGTACGTTGGAATCATCCACTGCTCAACCACTCCGAGCATGACGATGCCGAAGTCCATGTAATGAAACAACCAATCTTCATGCACAAAATATTCACAGCCGTGATAGGCTACCCTGACTGTCAGCTCGAAAGTATAAATGATCAACATCACCTGCTCCAGCATCAGCCAGTAAGGAGAAGGGTAGTCCAACTCCAGCCACATGATAATGGCATTCACTAGAATCATAGCCATCATGAATGTCTCAAAAGCTGGGTGCTGCGTCCAGGAAAGGTCTGATTGCACGAGGATTCGAAGCAACTTCAACCCTCGCGCTACCCGCAACAATCTCAACAGTCGCAGAACCCTCAAGCCTTTCAGGCTTACATTACCTCCGAGGGAGCTGCCGAGAACAGGGAGGACTACCTGCTCAAGAATGCCGCTCAGCACAATCAGCAGGTCCAGCCAGTTCCACCACACAATGGAGCAGTGACCAAAGAGCAAACTGCGCTGGTAGTAGGTCGCCCTGAGAACAAGCTCCAGAGTATAGAAAGCGAGAAAGGCGCCATCAGCCCAGGCAAACCACGCCAGCTTCCTGGTTGTCTGCCACTCCACTACCATCACGACAAAGTTCGCGATGATCACTGTCGAGCAGAAAGCCCCGAAGAGGTGACCGTGCACAAAGGCGAAGCTCTTGGGGCCCGGTGCATCGTCGAGCTCCCCGTGGTCGTGCTGCCACAGCATGGCCTCTGCTTCACGAATCTTCGAACGAACATTGTCGAGATCAGCTTCAAGCGGTGCTCTGCGTGCTTTGAAGGCCCTGGTCAGCATGTCGACGCGAAAGTCTTCGTCATCCTGTTGTTGAACCAGTTCCTCCAGTTCTGCCTGCATCTTGTCCCTGTCAAGCTCCCCACTCTGATCTACCGTCATGCCTTCCGGCATCTCCACACGCAATGCACTGTAGCCGTCGCGCGAATCTGCAGGAGTGTCTGCCATGCTTCGACCGCCAGGATCTACACACAACCTGAAGCGGCTTCTTGTCGCAAACCAAAGCCTATGCGCTTGCTATGGGGCGTTTCATTCTTTCATGCCCGCCTGAAGGTCATAGCATTTGGTACAACTTGGGCCTTGACAATTCTGATGGGAGTGGCTCTAGACTTGAGAATCACACATGACCATTGAAGCAGATCACTCGCAAGCAGAACCGCATGAGCCCATCAATCCTCTAAGCACAACTGCCCTGGAGTCTTCAAGATTTAATTCTGCACACGATTGTACAAGAAGTGCATCAGGGAACAGGGCTCCATACCCTCAATGGAAGCAAGCCGGAGGCCTGCATGCCTTTCACGCACGCATCTGGGCAGTATCCTGGACAAAGGCTGATTCATGGCTCACGCCGGTGGGCTTTGTCCAGCTGCAGGTTTTGCTGCCGCAAGAACTCTTTCAAGCCCAGCCCAGTATTGCATTGCCGTCGCCTTCGCCGTAGCATGCCCAAGCGTACCTCGAGTTTGGAACAAGGGCCAGTGGACTGACGGAAACTAAGGGAAGTCACGGCCAAGCGCCTTCAAAAGGATGGGGTGTCCCTGATTTGAGTTTGTCCAAGCTGCTGGACATCACACGGAGGGCCACCACTGCAGTCGTTCATGTTTCGCTCATTCGGCAGGAGGAGGTATATCCTGGTTTTCTACGGAAAACCGGAAGGGTCGAACTAGAAGCACAAAAGCAACCTTGTACATGACGGCTGCTGCTGCTACTGCTACTACTACGACGACGACTACGACTACGACTACTGCAACTGCCACTGCTACTGCTACGCGATGGCGATCCATCAGCACAAGCTGTTCATTTGGAAGGTCAACGACATTCTGCCCAAGTGCTGGTGTTGCTTAGCAGATGTTGTAGGCTCTCGGCGTGTTCGTCTGCATGCGGTTGATGGCTGAGAACTCTTGCCGTAGACAACAAAGTTCAATTCTCAAGCAGGTTCTATCTCAACACCCTAGTCCCCCGATGCACCACACCAAATTGTCAAAAAAGCGGCAGCTTGAAGAACAGGAGCAGGAAGCGACAGGTGACGCTGCCGCGGAGGTGTCGATCCTCCAATGATGCCCAAATCACGGACTTCTGCGATCGTTCACAGTACAGCCAAACAAGGACAGAAGCCCCAAAGACTGCACCACGTCGGTGCTATCTATACAGGCCCGACTCCTCGGAAGATCGTGGGTTGCTGGGCTTCTGGTTTGAAACCAAATTGTAAATGCAGGGCCCGATTGCACAGACTCCATAGACTGAGAAACTTCACCAATGACACTGGATGTGTGCAACAACCGATCCGCTACTTTGAAAGCATTTGGGACTCTCCATGCTTAAAGTGCGGCAGGAAAAGAAGCTTCAAAGCTCCGCGAAATCCAAAACTTGCCACATATCAAGAACACTTTTATACTTCCGAAACTCGAAACCCTGCCGCTGGAACAATGCGTGTGCCTCCGAATCCTGAAAGCGCTGATTGCTGACGTTTGTCCAGACATCCGAACCCTGTGAATGTTCCGAATCGCAACCATTCCGTGTATGTCAACACCCTCTCAATTCGGGGTCAATGCTTTCTTCGATGCTTGGCCAATTTTCCAAGTAGATTTGATGATTATTTTCCCGGGAAGAGCAAAAAACACTCCTCAAAGACGTTGGGAAAGTAGATCTCCGAAACAAGCTAAGCTGGCGCCTCGAAAGCCAATAGCCACGGATAGACATTCCCGTATCCTCGGCGGCCAACGATGTGGCATAGCAAAGGTGATTTTTGTTCATGTGCTAAGGCGATATTGAAGGGCTGGGGATTGCTTTGAGCAGCTGGTGCGACCGTACACGTGCGACTTGCGGTGGTTTCAATTGCAATGGTGCTTAGCCAAGCATCGTGTTGAGAGCATGGCAAAGACATGCCTCAGCAAACAAGAAGCCATTTACACGGATCTGCATCACGAGCCCGGCACCTTCTTTACCACCAAGAACTTGCTGATTTTTGCACACACGAAAAACTGAAAAAACAAATAACCGGCTGAAGGGTGAGCAAGGATAGTGCTGCACTAGCTGCATCAGCAGGGAGAAGCAACTTATCAGCAGCGTTGTAAAAATCAGCACCTGTCAGATCCGCGCACAACATCAATGAAGGCATGGCTCGCTTTCGCTGCTGCATTCTAGCCAACGCTCTCCCGAGAACCCCGACCGGCCCCGGCTCAGGAAACTGCACAAAGGAGTCTGCGATCCAGGCAGGCTAAAAACAAAGATGCTTCAAACTGCAAGCGCCTGGCGCTGCGCATTCAGCTGCTCTTCGGTCACCTGTTGCAAAAATTGAGGACATCGCTGCGCCGAATCTCGAATATACCGGAACATGCGCAGTTGTAGCTGGAATGGACCGCAGAGGTCCATGTCGCTAGGCATAGAGACTTTGGGGACCGGCTCGGGTACGAGGCCCTGACACTCGAATCCCGGATATTGCCGCACCACATCCCTTTAAAGGCCGGCCGCGGAGTCCCGCCCCCGTAAAGACAGGCCCTGCACTTCACATCGGACCTCCTCGAATGAAGCGGCGAAAATCACCATGGTGTACGCATCGCTCGCGCCGGCGATCAAGTGGACCAGCATGCCTGGCGCAGACGGCGGGATGCAGCAGGGCAGCAAGGCTGACCATTGCCTCTCAGCTGGGGCAGGGGTTCTGCATGGTGTAGGCATCGCGCCTGTGGCCATCCCATAGTGCACACGCATGTAGAACGGCAACAGCACTTTTGGCATCCGGCTCCGCTCGCCCTGCCGGCAAAGGGCATGAGCTCACCCGGACAATATCAGTTCAGGCAAGAACAAGGCGAATGGATGACCTTCCTGCGAGCAGGAAGCACGAAATCGAACGGCTGACCACACTTATACATTCTGGACGGCGTAGACAAAGCCAACACCCACAAAATCGTCCGTGAATCCTGCTCTGATACAGCAGGGCATGTACGGCCTCCAGCACTTTGGCCTGGCAGGACAGGCTCGAGCTTTGCTGCGCCACGTGAGCCCGAAACCTTAAGACTCGCCTTGAAAGCAAGACACTTTGCGCCTCGGTGGGCAGGTCCTGGCAGCCCTGCTGACCTCAGCTCCCGGATCCGAGATCGGCTTGCTCAGTCAGAGTCTGTCTCTGCTTGCACACTCGTCACCAGCCCATATGATCGAAAAGTTGCTCAAGCGCACCGATCTTGGAAAACTGAACAGAGTCTATGCGAAAAGAAGTTACGAGTATAAGAAGACAAAATGCACGATTGCGCTCCAACGAATACCAGCCGGCACACGAAGGATTTCAGCTGCCAGGATGGCGAGGCAGATTCCCATGTGAAGGCTCACCCAAGTCCAATACTCCTGCCGAGACGTTGGCAGTGCCTGTTCCATGCTTCGTGGCTAAGAAAGAAACTGCAAGGTGATCAAAGGTTATGGCAATGCACCGCCAGACTCGACCTGTTCCTCCATTAGTACAAGAGTCGTACGAGGGCCATGAGAATTCGACATCGGGCCTTCGAGATCGGATCCTTTGTAATGGCACGCAACTGCCCTTCTGTTCCCGGAGACACCTTAACCCTCTGTAGCTGCACAAATGTCTCATCCGCAAGCTGCATCCAAGCATATCGTAGTTCAATGTACTTTTGATGCCGATGATCACCAATTCGGGCGGATATCGTTGTACTTGTCCGGCCACACTAGCCCGTTTTTGCAACATCTGCTGGCCTGCCATCTAGAAGGCATGAGAAGGCTGCTAACCGCAGCCAGGAGCCAGCCGCAGCTTCAGCAGAAGGCTCGAGGGTTCGGTGGTTCTTGGGCTGTTTTCGCTTCATGCTGCCCACTGCAAACCCAGAGCGCTCTGCCTTGTTCGATGTGGCAACGAAGCCCAGCAAAGTCACTGACTCGTTGAAAAAGCTGTACTCCTTTGCCTTTGATGCGGATGTCGAGAGCAAACTCCCAGGACAAGTGCGAGCGACAAGCGGAAAGGGACGGTGACGGGGTCCCTTGAGGCTATCCTAGCCTTTGGAAGTAACAACTTCGTAGAAGCAATCGGCCGGAATTGGAGCTTCGCTTCGCGGCCGCGGCACGATGCGACCCAGGATCTCCGCTTGCAGCATCAGTAGGATCCTTGGAAGGCGGGACCGGACCCGTCGGACCCGGAACTTGATCCAGAGCTGACCGGATTCTGGCAAGCAGCATCAAGAAGGGCGTCAGCAGCCTGCGGATGGGGTGGCCGCGCTGCCTGGCCCAGGAGCTTGTGTCATTCAACGCTGCTTCTTCTACACACACACAGGGCTATGCAAGGATTACACCTGACGACCCCACAGCCGCACCTCACACCACTGACTCACTGCCTGCGGCCTAAGTGTGTAGAGTGCAGAGATTCCTTCTTGCAGAAATCCTTCTCCCCTGTCTACAGGTGACCGGAAAGCAAGAAACTTGGTGTGATCTGCACCCTCATTGGGAAAAGCAGCTTGCCGGCCTTTGGCTAGGCAAGATGAGCAAGCCGAGCAAAGTTCCGACCGCCGTCAGAATGCCCAAGCTTTCCACATCCTTGCTGCATATAGCATATACTCAGACACCTACCATGACAACTTGCGTTTGAAAGCAAACGCAACAGTCACGAGGGAGCTGCATAACTCTGTCTACAAGTCTACAAGTTCGGACACAGCAACAGATTTCAGCAACTGGGTTGCAGCACATGTGAAAGCCTTCCAAACTGCCTACAAAGGGAATCCCAAGCGGCCCAAGGCGGTGGCAGCAGGAGGACTGCAACAACCAAACAGACCTCGGCTTGCGAACAGGCATCATCGCTTGGCCCGATCTGCCACATGTGCTGCAACCCAGCCACAGAGCCGCCCAAGGCGGCCATCCGACTCAAGGAAAACTCCACGCCCAACCTCCAAATGCGGCACGAGGCTCCGGGGTTCGGTGCAGCACGGTGCAGCACTCCGAATGCCTATCGGGCCTGCTGGATGCACGCGAGGCCACCGACCCGGCATCCATCTCGAAGACTGCGATCATTGTAGTTGTAGCCGTTGTCGTTGCGGACCCACCTGCCTCGACACATGAGCACCAGGGCTCCAGTCGTTCGGCCGAACGGGCCTGGTACAGTCTCCAGGCGCCTCCTCCTCTTCGATTATAGGGTTTTGCATCTGGATAGGCTGGACGCCTCGAGCGAGCGCAAAGCAGGCTCTAGACCCAAATCCAGCCTTTCACGCCCGACTAAGTGCAACACAATCCTGAAAATTTCTTCAGGAGGCCTACAAGGTCACCCGTCCCAAGGGCCGAAAAGCTGTCCCTCTTTCATGGAGCTATGCAAGCCTGATAGCATTTGACAGCATTAGCGAGGCTATTTGCGAAGTCTAGCCTTTGGGAGGAGTGCCACTTTGACGTCCACAAGTTGGCACTTTTGTAAAGACTGCTGAGTGTGTCCGAAAGAAATCATCTGCCCATTCCAGGATTTCCAGGCCCAGCGGCCCCGGCCAACGATCAGAGCTACGCCCGCCAGCACACATGCCATAGGCAGCGCCACCCATGCAGAAAATGTGAACCAGGTCCTGGGATCTCGTGTAAGTGTTTCATTGGACTACAGAGGCGTAATAGGCATCTAATGCAATCCAGGACTTGTCCACTACTCCTGCTCTGCAGAACATGTGGTAAAAGATGTTATTGCTTCTTCAAGCATTTCTGCCGTTGTTGATGCCATTGCGAAAGAAGTCACGAGCAGTCATGACTAGTCTAACTGCTCTTGCAAAAACTTCCGCTAGTTCCGTTCATGATGTCTTCTGCGAGTACTGCCAACCTCTCTTAGCTCATGTAGGGGATTCGCAACTCCGCGCTCCTTCAACATGGACAGCAAAGGTTTGCATATGACGTGGGCACAGAGTGGCAGCTTCTGCAGAGTCACTCCTCCCATAATGGCTACTCTTCGTTCTGGTGCGTATAATCGCCCTGCAACCTATTGCAGAGAACGAGCTAGTCAGCATAACATCGGCTCGAGGGCGTTAAGCCTTTTCTGCTTTCCTGGCTGCCGACAGCCCAAACGAACGTGTATTTTTGCAAGCGGGACGCATGTAGAAGCATCCACCTGCAGGGAGAAAGGAGATCCTAGTCGCAAACGGCCTGCAGCCGGTGCTTCAGGCTGCCCTTCGCCTTGCCCCACCGTAGACAGCCAGCCATGCCGACAGGGCTGGCAGACAACCTCCCCTTCTGGCGAGTACTCGCCCGAGCTGCATTTCGACCTGGAGAACTGGCCAGGAGTGCAAGCGAAGGTAGCAATTAACCGTGCACAGCAAATGCCAAGAACCTTGTGCTCTTGCAGCCGGGTTGCTTGGCTCCGTCCTGGCTGTGATTTTGTGATCAGTATACATCGCGTTTGCTTGATGACAACCGAATCATGTAGCAGTTAGGGAGCTGTCTTGTGGTCTCTGGCAGCGAAAATGAAAGATTTGTTCCGAATGAAATTTACAGACTTCACATAAACGCCCTGTTCCAACGCAGGTCGCTTGTGCCGAGCTGCCCAATCGAAGAAGTGAGATCCCACCTCGTATCGATGCAACGATGTATGCCACCAGTCTGCCCATAGAACGCAGCCCCCCTCTTCATGCAAGGGCAAGCACCAGATGTTGAGATGTCAAGACACCAGTAGGCCAGTTGGCAGCACGTGGACGTCCTGGATCGTCGACCTCGCACTCCGAGCATCTCTAGCCCGACGAATGAAGGGATTACTACTACTATGACTATGATTATTACTATGATTACGATGCTTACTATTATTACTATTATTACAAGTATTGCTATCATTACGATAATAACGATTACTGCTAGCATTACTACTGTTACTACTGCTGCCATGTTACTATTGTTACTATTACTATTACTAGTTCTAGTACTACTACTATCACAATAACAAGTACTTTTAAAATATTTTTTATTGCTACTACTTGTGATTACTCTTGTTGTTATTAGTGTTAAACACTTTGGTTGCTACGGTAGGCGGTGAGCATGTGACGATGCCATTTCCATCCTCACATATCCTCATTATTCCTCATTGCCCTCGAGCTACTGGTAGGTAGGCAGCGTCACATTCGGCGGGATCTCGTCCGACCCACCCAAGCTCGAGAAGTTCTTGCGACACTCGGCTGAATTCGCCGCCTTACCAGCATCAGGCTCATTGTGTTCAGGCTGCATTTCAGTTGCGGACACAGCCGTAGCGGTCAAGTTTGTTGCACACCAAGACCCCCAGACCCTTCGGGCTCCAGCATGCTGCAAGCGACAAGACACTGCATTGCTAGGCTCCACGAAGATTGGAAACAACGGCACAACCCCAACCCTGACCGCATCCCACCCTGCCTTTCCCACGAGTGCTTGCAAGTCAACTTGGAAGAACTCCTGCTTGAAAGGACGCTCAGACCGCCAAGACCCATCCCCCGCAAGCAAGCCTTCCCAGTACCTCTCCAGTTGCCCTAGCGCTTCGGACCTGCTTGGTGTTTAAGCTTAGGTGCCCCCCGACTCCAGAGAGATGCAGGACGATCCCGTCCGAGAAATGCCGAAATGCAAGGCACAAGCTACGACGAGCGGCGATTGAAGTGCCCATGGCCACCGCAACGCCAGCTCCGTCAGGCAACCCCAACCTGTCTTCCCAACCAACAAGTGCAGAGACATCGGTAGTAAGCACAGCAAGAAGAAGGTAGAGAAGAAGAGAACAAGCAGCCTTAGAACAAGACGCCTGGATCCTGAACAGCCTGGGAAAGCAGGGAAACTCCGGAGTCGCGGGCGACGGCGCTGCACGGCAAAAGCACTCTGATTTCAGGGTACCGAACAAACTGGGACATCAGGAGCAAACTCCCAGACACCGAGCAGAGAGGAATTTGAATCTCGAACGTGTTCAGAAAACTCCAACTGCCCACTCAACACCAGCCATGACTGTGGTGCGAAAACAGACATGTGCAGCTACATGTATCTGCCCACACCCATGATGGCCAGGCGGCACGGCTGACGGCGAGCCGTCAGGAACTCGGAGCTGGGCGATGCGTCCTGATCATCAAACGAAAACGCGCACGACCATGGAAAAGAAGGAGAAGCGCTTATCACCGTTGCCCGCCAAAGCGTCTTAAGCATCGCTGCTCGAAGTCCACATCAACGATCCTGGCGGGCAGTGCTGCACAGCTCAGACACGGGAATGTTTAGGGCCGTGCGATGGTGAGCTCAAAGCGTCAGAGGTGAGACATCTTGGCCTCCGATCTCGGGCCTGAACTCAAGCTGGATTCTGCGACTGTGCGCAAGACTGACCCGCCACGACCACGAACACCACCACCCCCACCCCCACCCCCACCCCCACCCCCACCACCACCACCACCACCACCACCACCACCACCACCACCACTTCGAAAAATCATCATTGCCATCAGAGACATAATCGTCATTCCCATCGTCATCCCTGTCCTCTTCACATCCTCCTCGTCCTCCTCCTCATTCCTCGGAGTGACATACATACACACATAATTTATGTACACACAGATACACACATGCATGCATGCACACAATACGTGCAGCAAGGGCTATGCATGCATACAAGGTCACATACAATCGGATCGGAGCGCTGCTTTGTGACATTTGTGAGGCCCAGTTCGTCGTCATACACTATCACGCACCCTGGAGGCCACAGTTGGTTTGCAGCTCCAAACCTGATCTGGAGAGGCAGAAATGTAAGTGCAAGCAACTGACCTGGCAGTTGGGCGCAGAAGCAGAAGCGTGTTGGCAAGAGTTCCAGCAGCTCACTCATGGAGCTCTTGAGTGAGTGAACGGTCGAGGCCTTTTGAGTCGAGTATCAAGATTAAAGCTAATGTGCCTTCTTTGCGTTTCTGTACAGTAACCTGGCATCCTTATCAGGACAGAGTATCTCCAAATAGGGCAGGCACACAGCACAGAAAAGCATTCCCTTGCCTTCCTGGTCCTAGTATAGCCCAGCCCCAACATAACATCACCTGACCTAACCTTAACCCCAAACCTAGCCTAGACTAGCAGAACATCATGTATGGTTACATCGCATAATGCGACATGACGTGATGTGACGCGACATGAGAGAAGTCATAAATGACTCAGACTACATGAGATGCATACACGCACGAGGAACCCAAGCATCAATGACATAGCAACCTGTCGGAGTAGAGCGTTGCCGTCCCAAGAGGAAGAAAAAGCTTGGAATTGATAAACTCAGCCAGCAGCACAGGACACCACCAAATTGCAGTGATACCGCCAGCACTGTCGTAGTCAACGCAGCCACCCTAGAGCAGGATGGAGGCAGCTCTGCTCTGCAAGGATGCTATCAGACCGTATCGCAGAGAAACCAGTCAAGTGTCGAATAGATCACCGAATCGAATGTGATTTCGATTTCCGGGGCTGCACCGGCCTCACAGACAGAGTGTCGGCAAGTGAAGAGTTCTATGTGGCTCTGTCTTCTGACTTCAAGTATCCCAATCCCAACTAGTGCAAATCGACTCAATTGAAACTGGGCGATAGCCCTGCGAACACGGTGGCTGTCAATGCGTCCACGCTATAAAATCTCAACGCCCCGTCGAAGATTTGGTAGGTGCTCGCCACCTCGCCAATTGGACAACAGAGGGGTCAGATCAGGGCACTTGGCCCTGGCCAACCCTTGAGATTGACGGACAGGATTGCCGCCTAGTGAAATTATTTGGCACAGGGATCTTTAGTGCAGGAGAGCCGCTAAGAAGTAGTCGCCGAGGACTGCTGTCCTCAAGACGTCGCCGGGGAAAGACACTCGGCCTGCAGAGCACCAAGCTTCCTACGTTAGCGGTGCCGACATGTGCAGGACTGGGCATGTGGCATGCACAACTCCGAAAGTAAGAACATTCCCAATTCGCAAATTCATGCAAATTCGTGTTTTGGAAAGCGATGCGCTCGACCGACCTATCAGCTTCGGCTGCGCCATGTCCTTTGCGATCCTGTAGAGCTGCAACATGCCACCCGTCTCTGCCTTCAGAGATTTCTGGAAAATCGCAAGAAGACAGGGAAACTGCAGGACAGGCGGCGATGTCGGCTGAGACTGCACTAGGCACAACACACTTGAGAAGAGGCGGGAGATCTACCCGGCTCTACACCGATGAAAATGTGTAGAAACTCCTTCGTCCCAGGTCAATCCCAACCTCCAGCCAAGCCGGGGTGGCAAACGCGACCTGCAAGGTCGCTTGTCACAAACCATGTCAGCATCAAGCATACGCACCCTTGCGGACGTGAACAAAGACGAGCAATGTGCCAAATCTCAAGTTGGATCTATGATGCTTGCGTGCTGAGACACGGCCAGGAGATCGCCAATGGACTGCACAGCGACACCATGTCCTGTCTTGCGCCGACAGCCGGCAAATTGGACCTCGCTTCCGTTTGCAGGGGCCGACGGTCACAAGCAATCCTGCATCCCTCGCGCCATGCTACGTAGCAAAATCCAAGCTGACAAACACGGATCGACGTGGCTGATGTAGGTCTGCCATTGAAAACAACTCAGGGATCGGCACCGAACGCATCGACTTGAACGGATGGTGCAGTTCATCGTGGCTGGGTAGCAGTTACTTCAGCTAGGAATGGAGCCTGGAATTGACCTGCATTAAAGCCTATTCCCGCCGGTTTTGACAACTGCATAGGCAGTTGTGTGTTCAGTGCCACTTTGGTGGAACCGGTGCTCGTCGGGTGTGCACCACTTCCAGTTCACATGCGATTGCATTGAAGCCTAAAGCTTCCAAGCGACCGAGTGCAGGGCAACTCCTCCAGTGCTTAAAGCCGCAGTAGTGAAGATCTTCCTGAGAAGACAGATTGTGGGATCTTCGTGCCTCGCCTCCTCTAGCCAGATCCAATCTTGCTGTGGGTAACCAGACTGGAGGTCTTGGTGTTCCGGACACATCCATGGCCAGATGGCTGAACAACAGACTTCAGACTCAGCTGCCAGCCTGCAGAATCTGAGGCTAACATCCCAGTTTCTCACAGTGGCTGAAACATATCCACCCAAGGATCAGCCCACATTGGCCGACGGCCACAACGCCCCAATTGTCCAAGATTTGCACATCATCTATGTGCTTGCCGACCTCACGCTGCAAAGTTCGCCAACACTCCAGCTGCCCAAGACCACAAGCGTCGAAATCTTACGGTTTGACCAGCGACATGCAGTTCAGCCCGTGTTCTGATGGGCTCCTTCCTTGGATGCCGAGGCAGAAAAGACAGGGAGAAAGAGCATACAGAAGCATGGCCAGAAAGACACCTGGATATAGGAACTGAGTCTTCAGGTGCATGCGATTGGCTCCGTCACAAAGAGTGACTCTGGAGTATTCTTGTGTACCTTTAGCTTTGCTTACAAGTGTGCTCGACAGCAAGAGCACATTCAATCCGACATGTCGGAAGGCTTCACAAGTAAGGCTGACATGTGCTGTGCAATAGTGCTCAGCAGAAATTTGCAACAACTCTCTCCGGCACTTCCGGTGCAACAAGATGCTGCCACTGCACGATGTCCATGATGCTTACCGCTATCAGATCTCATGACACGAGCGAGGAGCACTGCAACCTTGATGATCAATACAAAAGCATGTAGCGATAAGAAACCTCCAAACCCTGAAACAATCCAGCACCTCTTGGCGCAGAACTCGACATCCACCAAAGGCACAGGGCCGCATCCATGTAGAAGTCCACCGTTCCCAGCTCAGTGGCCACCGCCAGGGCCCCGGTGGTCAGCGAAGTCATGGCCACTGCTTTGGCCGTCAAGCTCCTGGCAGGAGTTGGGAACAAAACAGAGGTGCCGATCGCAGTCAAGGTCGAGGGCAGTTCTCGAACTTTGGATGAGGCCACTGCCCGAACCATGAATTTCCGGTTCCTTTTCTGAGCGGCCACTGCTTGCGGCTTGCTGGAGCGCTTTGTAGAGGAACAAGAAGGGGATCTACTGTTTATACAGTTTATACGTGATGTTTGCCGCACTCTGCCTTGACCTACGTGGTTTTTTCCTGGCTCAAGGTTTTGCTCATTTTCTGCACCCCAAACATTCCAGAAAGCCAGGGCTTTGTAGGTTTGAAGAGGTATGCTTCCATGTGGACCCGAATCCTGAAGCTTCAAACAGGCTAAGAAATCTCTCACGGCAGCAAAGGCACAAGATCATGTCCGGTTCTGCACCTGCCACACAAGAAAGCGCCTTAGGATAATTTATGATAATTTTTAGACGAGGGATAAACTAACCAACTAATGTCAGCCAAGAGCTGTCTTCACAGCAACATGATCCAAATGACGCCGGAAGTTTGAGGGCAGCTCAGAAACTTCCTCCACTCCTCGTCCCTGACTGCCCTCCAGGCTGGGCCTGCTGCTAGGGCGGCCGGCGAATAGACCGACAGGCGAGTCCCACCAACCACCTGTGTCTTGGTGTAAACTGTAAACCCACACTATCACGATGAGCTAATGTTTCTAGACAAATTTCGAACCTATCGCCTAAAGTCAGTCTTTATTGACGTGCACTGTCGCAGTCGGCACTGTGGCTGCGAAACTTTACAAAGCCGCACCGTTGCTGCTTCACGCTGGCTGCAGAGGATAGGAGAACATCGACAAACCATGCTGCATGTGCGTGTGTGCGTGTGTGTATACATATATATATATATGCATGGACGTATGTATGCATGCATGTATGTAGTGATGTAAGATTTTGTAACATAGGGCAACACAATATAATTTGTTGCAACATCGCACAATGCAGTAGAACAGTATGCTGTAATGAAAAAATATTTGTAAATGTGGTGAATGTGTATACCATGACAACATTCAGACCTCCCTCAGGCCTCCCTTGCAGTACATATCTACTTCCAGTCCTCTGTATCTGTCAAACTCTATCGCTGTAAGGGTTTATCCTAAAAGCATTGGGATGCAAACTGGGTTGCACCCTCTGCTCCACCATGCTTGCGACATTATCGCAATTTCGACCAACAGTTGGTGCCAGCGTAGGCCCAAAATGGTGACAAACATGCACCAAGCAGTCCAAGCTCGACATATTCAAGAACCACTCCAGGAAACGGCAGCACCATCACATTCACCCAGGCTAGCAACAACGTTGTGTCACGAGCTCCACCACAAGAGCATCCACTTGAATGTGACTACCTGATGTGGGAGGTGGGCGGGGGTGGGGGGGGTGGCCCGGGGGCTATGATGTGTGGGTGCGGTGATGTCGGGGCGGCCGGGGGGGGTGGGGGGGTAATAGCAACGTTGTGTCACGCCACGCCACAACAGCATACACTTGAATGTGACCACCACTGGGCCTTCCGGGACCCCCCCCAAACGCCCCTCTCTGGAACGCGCACATGTCTCACAAAGCAATAAAGGCCCAGAAATTTCCAGGCCTTGATTGCAGTCCATCCAGTCAACGCACCCGTTTGCTCCGGGCAAAAAACCCTGGCCTTTACAGGGCTTCCGTCCATGGACGCCAAACAGACCACGCCTGAAACCCCGCCCCTCTGGAACCTTCTGGGACGTGTACATGTCTCACAAGGCAAGAAAGGCCTAGGCCTAGAAATTTCCATGGAGTAAACACACCTGTTTGCTCAGTGTTTCTGATTTTTTTGGAGGGGGTGGGGTGGGGGGGGGAGGTTAATAGCAAGGTTGTGTCACGAGCGACACCACAACAACATACACTTCGAACGTGACCACCTGATGTGGGGGTGGGTGGAAAGGGGTGGGGGGGGCGGGGGCTAATAACAACGTTGTGTCACGAGCGAGCTCCACCACCACAGCATTCACTTGAATGTGACCACCTGATACTTCCAAAGTCGCAGCCGTTGGTGCAGAAGCCGATGGACGCATGGATTCAGGGCTTCTGCTAGGGTCAAGAAACATGGGTTTGTGGGCTTTGGGGGCGCGCTGTAACGATAACGTTTATAAGCTTCACGGCCACGGGGTTTGTGGGCTATAAATGTCTCCCAAAGTAATGCAGGGTTTGGGGGCATGAGGTTCGTGGGTTTTGGGCTCGCCTACCGAGGCAGAACCCCCATAGCCAAACTCAGCATGGTTTCAAATGTTGAGGAAACCCTAGACCCTGAACCCTGGGTGCTCGGATAATAACATGATTTCACGTGCGGCGCATCACGGCCTGCCAGAAACATGATAACGTTTATTGCACGCAGCGCATCACAACCGCGTCCACGCTGACGGGCTGGGTGGGGAAGGTTAGGCGGGAAGGTTGTGCGGCAGCTTGGCAAGGACGCTGTTTTTAACGTGACAAGCAGCTCATCCTGTGGCCCTGCTATGATATCAAGCAAAAACGCGGTCACAAGTGACCGCTTCCTTTATTTTTGCAGGTGCAAAGTGTGGCCCAAAGTGATTTGAAGCACGTACGCGGTCACAAATGACCCAAAACGAGGTGGTCACAAGTAACCAAGCGACCGGTGTTCCCTCCAGGAGACCACCCCATCAGTCCAAAACATGCACCGCACAGCGCCGGCATGGCACCCCAGGCCAGAACATGCACCGTACCACAAAACAGGCTCTGCACCTTGGCGAGGGCACGACTTTTAAAAGCGGAAACAAGAGTCACAGCCCAAACATGAACAGCAATGCGGTGGAAGCACGATTAAATTTGGAAGGCAGGAACGTGACCTGACTGTGGCGGGAAGACTGTTTCGAGGCAATGCACCGTCCCGGGAGTGCCAATTGCCAACTCTCACTCTCGAGCGATTTGACGGACCATCAGTGTAGGACTGCGGCAGAAACGTCAGACGCTCCAAAATGCGAGTCGCACCGCTCCGTGAAGGCAGCATTCGTCAACAAACTATTGGATGTTTCCATGGGCTCGCCATCCCGGCATATGCGGCCAGCGTGGGACTCTGAAAAGATTGCGACTTCTATAGAATATGTGCGCTACACAAGAGCGGGAGCTGCGGAACCGCCGCGCGCACCTGCCCTGGCACACGATCAAACAGCCAATTGATTGTGATCTAAGCCGTCTACAGTGAGCGCAAGAACCGTGGTACCACAGCGAACCCATATGACCTCAAAAGAGCCTAAAAGCTTGCTTTGCACATGTCTGTGCCACTTGTAGTTCCTGAAACAATGGGTGCAGCAGTAGCACCAGATAGCCATCGGGACGGACGTGGAGGCAAAAGAGTAAGCCAGAGCTCCTCAGCGCAAGCACACCAAGGATTACATGGCTGCAATCGCAGTGTGTGCCATTCTGAAAGCCAAGGAGGCTGCGGTGCGGATCCCTTCAAAAACTACGAGCAGCATTGCAAACGCGCCGCTCTTTCAAAAGCCAGGTCGCGGAAGTTGACGATATCTGCCCAAGCTCGGAATCTGCACAGGATCGAAGAGCAGCAGCCTGGGACGGGCAACGTCTCACAACGTGTACCGTGGTCTGGTCTCTTGGGTGCTGTGGAAGCCTGCCAAGCCCTCTACAACTCGAAGGCTGCAGAGAGTCTTGAAACCATTGGCCACCACAATGCCACCGTTCTGGAGTGAGGCCATTACCTGGTTGTCAAGGTTTTACATGAAGTTCGTGCATCGCATCACGCCGCATCATGCCAGTGTGCACTTGCTTCTATGGTGTAAGAGCCTTACTCTTGTTGGTCGCATCATATATATATATATATATCAGTTACTACGATCGCAGACGCTCGGTGCCCTCACTGAACAGACGATCGGCGATCGCACCTTTTTCATGCGACCGCAACGTGGGAGTCGGCCACAAGTCGGATCATCAAAATTTCACTTGATCTTCACAAGTCCGATCGGACCCCCGATCACCGATGGGTGCGCCATGGCATTCACCACAGACCGCAACATCATCCGATCGGACACATCGTCACTCGTGATGGCGAGACCCTCCAGGAGCACACCTCTAGTCAGTGCCCTTGCAGAATTTGTCCTGGGCGTGCACCGTAAGAGCTTGTAACTGGAGTGTTGGCATTAGGAGCTCGCCTGACGGCCCACGGATGCTGGGCTTTGCCACTGGCTTCCAGGGGGCCAGTCTGCGAACGGCGGCATAAGTGCTTCCTTGGTCCCCTCGCTTGGCAGCCTGCTCCAGTTCACACATAATGTCTTGGATCTTCTGTCGTTTGATCGTCTTGGCTCGGTCCCGCAGCTGTTTGGATGCTCGCTTAAACTGGGTCCACAACCGCCATTTTCGAAGGATGTTTTGCCTATTGCATCTGCCTATGGACCGATACGACCTGTAAAGACTCCACAGCTCTTTGGTTAAAAGAGTAAATTGGGGGTCTTGGCTTACGCGTCGGTCTTCCCGGCCTCGGGCTGGGTACATCTGTTCAGCTCTTCGAATCAGGATACTGTCTACCTTGACTGTAAGCTCACCAGGGCTCAAGGCGTTTGGTATTTGAGACAGGTCGAGTGCAACCTGAGATCGGAGTTGTTGGGCCCGGGTGTCCTGCCTAGCGATCGAATCTTGCATTGCAGCTTTGTCAATCAGTGCACTGGCTGGCTTCGGCTGCCGAATCAGGTGCCAAGGTGACACCAGTTTGATGGAGGCCTGTACGGGGAAGTGCCGATTGGCTTTCCAGGCTCCGACAGGGCATGCTGGTAGAGAGTCACTCTGCTTAGCCAGTCGATCTGCCCATTGTACGCGAACGGCAACGAAGTCTATCTGGCTAAGGGCCCCACTTGTAAGGTTGGTGGCCTTGTTCCTACCGTGCCAAGTGTTCAGGAGACAGAGCCCGTGGGTTTGCAGGAGCTCCGGCAGGCCTTCGCCTGCGTCCTTGTCTCCATCGTGCCCCCGCTTCTTCAGGAGAGCTCTGCCAACATGTGGTGTGAGTTCACTAACCTCTGCATTGAAGTCCCCGCCTAGAATGCATGTGTGTCGCATGGGGCAGGAACCTAAGGCTTGCCCAATCGCACGATACACTGAGGTCCTGGCTGCTTGGTTCTGGGCCGTTGTGTGGTGGCTGCGCCAGACGTGCTGATAGACGTTTATCACGTCTATTGCTCCGAATTGCTGGTGGATCCTGGTGTGATGGACCCGTCCCTTCAAGTACGTCTTGCACTGTATGGCTTCGGAGGGGCCCAGCCTCGAATGCACAAGTGTCGCTAGACCTGAGCATTTGTCTTTTTCTGCAATGGGTGTCCCAACACAGTGCCACTTACCTGAGGTGAAGTCTGACCAGCTGGTCCAATGAG